CCGAGCCGAGCCGAGCCGAAGCAGGCGATGCCGGGCTCCGCTCCTGGGTCCCCCCGCAAGCCCCGGGATGGAGCCGGGGCTCCGGGGCTGTCCCGGCCGGGATCGCGCCCTGCTCCCCTCGCTCCGTGTGCCCGAGCAGCTGTGGCTGTGTCCAAGGCAGTGCCCAAAGCTGGACACTGGCGCTGGGAGCGCTGGGAGGGGTCCCTGCCGTGGCAGGGGTGGCACTGGGTGGGTTTTGGGGTCCCCTCCCAGCCCAACCCTCCTGGGGTTCCGTCCAGCCTGGGTAGGACCGGCTCTTAGCGGGCTGGGGCTGGGCTGGCTGTGCTGGACCAGTGCTGGCCACTGCCAGGAGCCCCATGCCCAGCCCGGGCTGCTGCCAGGGGGCTCCTGCTGGCCCTGCCTGCCAGGTGGGCACCCCAACACCGCCGTGTTCCCCCAGCCATGGCTGAGGAGCTCAGCGAGCTGCTCAGGGAGTTCCACGAGGTCATGGAGGACTTTGAGCGGGGCCCTGCGAGTCAGTACCAGCAGCACCTGGAGGAGCTGAAGAGGAAAGCGGGACAGAGCGTGTATGACAGTGGCATCGATGAGCTGGAGAGTGAGTCCGGGCTGGGGATGGCACTGGAGAGTCTGGAGAGTGAATCCGGGGATGACATTGGAGAGTCCGGGGATGAGGAGCCCTGGGGGATGACATTGGTGTCTCCCAGGGTGGAGCTCTCTGGTTCCTGCTGATGCTGCCTGACTCACCCCTGCTGGGCTGGATGAGCAATAAGGGGGATGACCACTGGACACTGGCCCAGCACTTGCCACCATCTGCCAGGGCTGCTGCAGGACCGTGGCAGGCTGGGGATAACCCAGGTCCCTGTAATAACCCTGTCCTTGTAACTGTGCCCAGACAACCTCTGGTGCTCTTTGACCTGAGAAAGAAACTCGGTTCCATTTTTCCAAGCATTCCTGGAAGCAGGGGAGGAGCAGATGGGGTCTCCCAGAATGTGCCACCCTGTGCCATGGGCATGACTGGGCTGTGTTCCTGCAAAGTGTTCAGGGACTGATGCTCTGTGTCCTCAGGTGCCAGCACGTCCCCAGGAAGCAGCCTTAACTCCAGTGAGGAGCACCTCAACACCCCGGCTGACACTTACCCCACCAAAGGTGAGCCTGGCCCCGCCCAAAGGGGCTGGCAGGGCTTCCCTGTGCCCAGCTGGGCTTGGCAGTGACAGCCAGCCCCGGAGAGGGGGGTGCCAGGGGGGCTCTGCAGAGTGGGAATGAGCCCTGCTGTCCTGGCAGGAGCCTGGAAGGGGCAGAAGTTGGATTGGGATTTTCCCAGTCGAGGCTGGGACAGACACAGCTGTGTGAGGAACAAGGGGCTGGGGTCTCTCCTCTCCCCACTGAGGGGGGGAACGGGAAGCCCTGACCGTGTTTTTCCCCAAAGCAAAGCTTGGAGACACGCAGGAGCTGGAGGAGTTCATTGCAGACCTGGATAAAGCCTTGGAGGGTACGTGGGCAACCTTGACCCCTGCACTTCCCACGGGCTGGGACACCTGGGCTGGGACACCTGGGCTGGGGCTCCTGGGCTGGGACACCTGGGCTGGGGCTCCTGGGCTGGGGCTCCTCTGCCCCCCTGGCTCCTGTTAAAAAAATTGTTCTTTTCCTTGCGGTGTACCCCAACCCACCCCATCAGGAGGGAGGAGAGCGGGTCAGTGTGGTGGCAGGGAGGGCAGTCCCAGCCTGTGGGTCATGCTGGCCTCCTCCAGGGGCTGGCAAGAGCCTGGGGGTGTCCCTGTGAGAGGGGGTGTCCCTGTGAGAGGGGGTGTCCCTGTGAGAGGGGGTGGTGCTGTGCTGCCCATCTCTGGCATTGTACCCAGCAGCTCTGCAGAATTTGGCAGCTCTGCAGAATTTGGCTCTGCAGAATTTGGCTGCTCCCCCCTGGCTGCTTTTCTGGGGAAACCGAGGCAGAGGCCACTTCCTCCCACAGGGCCCCTTCGTGACAGGCTGGAGGCACAGAGAGCCTGGGTTAAGAAGCCATTTCCCCCCACGCAGACTGTGAAAGGCACAGTTCTCCTCTCTGTTCCCATCCCTGGTGTCCAAAATGAGGTGGCTGGTGGGAGGAGTTCCTGTGCCATGCTGGGATGGAGGGGGGGACCAGAGCTGCCCCAGGTTCCTGCAGATTGTCACCACGTTCTGTGTCACCCTGCAGAGATGTGAGCCGTGGAGCCTGCAAGGAGCAGCCCTGAGTGTCCCCGATGCTGCCTCTGCTTCTGCACCCCAGCTGGGCTGGGGACAGGGACGGGCACTGGGGACGGCTCCAGCCCTGGGACCGTGGTGACAAAGCCCTGCCAGCGCCAGGAGAGGACAGTCCTGGGTGGGCACCGCGGAGCTGGGCCAGTCTTGCAGCCCCCAGAGTGATTTTGGGGAGGATCAGCTTGCAGGACATCAGCGTGACATCAGTGTGACCTCAGGGTCCCCCCCAGGCTGGGAAGTCCCATTCCTTGGTGGCATCTGCCACTGCTGACAGGAGCCCCAAATCGGGCCCCTCTCTGCCCCCCATTGCCCCAGCTGCTGCTGTAAATATTGTAAAAAAGATGGTTTGTGCTGTACAGTGCTTCTGTGAACAGGATTTTAAAGCTCTGCCTGTGTGTGCCCATCTTTGCCGTTGGCAGGGGTGGGAGCAGGGATGCCTGGGGCTGCCAGTGCTGGGACTGGCACTGGAAAAGGGGGAGACCTCAGGGAAGCAAATTCAATGCCTGGATAAATAGGAATATCAGGAATCCCCTGTTCTCCCTTCCCCTTGGTGCTCACAGTGTGGGGTGGCAGAGGGTGAAGAGTCCCTGCCTGTCCCCACGAGCTCAGGGAGCTGCTCCACTGCTGCCATCCTGCTGGGATGGGTCATGGGGGTCCTGCATCCAAAGGGAGCTGTGTTTGAACCACGGGGCTCCACTGCTGCCATCCTGCTGGGATGGGTCATGGGGGTCCAGGGGAGCTGCCCTGCTGCCACTTCCCCTGGGTGTGTCCCCTGGCAGAGCCCAGAACAAGCCCCAGGGACGTGGCTTTGCTCTGCCGAGCTGAGCTTTGGCCGTGGGTGGGATGATGGTGCCCCAGGGGTTCCCCTCCTGCCTTTCCCCCCGGAGTTTCCCATCCCCTGAGCGGTGGGATGGCAGAAGGGGAAGCTGTGGCTCTGCTGTCCCCCTCTCTCCCTGTGACCCCCACGTGGAGCAGGCTCACGTGTGGCTGTGCTGCAGCTTGGCTGAGCGGGAAATGAGCACTTTCTGTTTCTGCCCTCATCCCCGGGCCGTGGGTGCTGAGCAGGGGATGTTGGACACCCCCTCTGTCCTCCCGGCACTCACACACAGGTCCCAGGTCACAGGGGACCAGCCAGGGGACACTCTGGGCTGTTGTTGTCCCCATGATGTGTGATGTGGCCACTGCCGTGTGTCCCAGGGGCAGCCAGGACATGGGGGTGAGTGTGTGTCAAGGTGGTGACACTCAGAGATGTCAGTGACACTCAGGGATGTGTGTGACACTCAGGGATGTGTGTGACATTCAGGGATGTCAGTGACACTCAGGGATGTGTGTGACACTCAGGGATGTGTGTGACACTCGGATGTCAGTGACACTCAGGGATGTCTGTGACACCCAGGGCTCTGTGGGGACACCCAGCCCCCGTCAGTGGCTGGTGTGGGGACAGTCCCCGCCGTGCTGATGGCAGCAGCCTCAGTGTCACTGAGTTTTTCCCCCTCTGAGTCACAGCGACGCTCGGGCTGTCACTGTCCCCACGCCCCATTCGCCCCCTTCCACCCCCACAGCAGCGGTAAATGTTGCCAGGCTACAGAAATAAATATTTTCCAGCCCCAAATGTGCTGAGGTCGATAACCCCGCAGCCACAGCACAGCGCTGGTGACACCCCGGGGTTGGTTTGTTTGTTGGGGGGGTTGCCAGGAGCAGCTTGGGGGTCACCCCGGGCTCCTCCAGCCCCTCGGGGTCGGGATGGGTGGGTGGGAGCTGCCCCTGCCCCTGTCCCTGTCCCATGGCTGAGCCGTCCCATCAGCACAGGCTCTGTGGGTAGCAGGGTCTGTGGTTACAGGATCCATGAGTTATAGGATCTGTGAGTTACAGGGTCTGTGGGTTATAGGATCTGTGAGTTACAGGGTCTCTGTGTAGGAATTCCTGTGGTTACAGGGTCCGTGATTGCGGGTCTGTGATTATAGGATCTGTGGTTATAGGATCCATGGGTTACAAGGTCTGTGGTTATAGGATCCATGGGTTGTAGGGTCTGTGGTTATAGGGTCTGTGGTTATAGGATCTGTGGTTATAGGATCCCTGGGTTACAGGGTCCGTGGTTATAGGATCCATGGGTTGTAGGGTCTGTGGTTACAGGGCTATGGTTATAGGGTCCGTGGTTATAGGATCCATGGGTTACAGGGTCCGTGGTTACAGGGTCTGTGGTTGCAGGGTCCGTGGTTATAGGATCCATGGGTTACAAGATCTGTGGTTATAGGGTCCGTGGTTGCAGGGTCCGTGGCCCCACACGTGCCCTGCAGGTGTAAAATCCATCAGCACAAACACGCACGTCCTGCAATACAGGACAGTTCCTCCCCAGGGTCCTGCTCCCCACAGCAAACAAGCAAAAAGATTTTCACAGGCAAACAAGAAAGCCAATGTTGCAAGTAGAAAAAAAAAATTCTCAAAATTTTCCACTACAAAAAACCAAAAAAACTCCTTCTAGCTTAAACTGTAACATACTAACTTTTTATAATTGGACTATACAAACATAAATATAAATAGTAACATAAATATAGTAATGTAAGTAGTTATGATAAGCTATAAGTAAAATTATTGATTAGTTGTCATGTATTACAATATTCAGTAAAGAAAATATATCATACATTGTAACCAAAACTGGAGCTGGCTTCAGACGAGCCTACAGCTAATACTGACTGCTGTAGGCTTAGCTTTGTCACCCATGTCCTGTAAATCAGGTATATATGAACGTATAAAGAACATTTAAAGAACAAATAAAGAACATTTTAAAGAGCCACCTGGAGCCCTGCATCCCTGGTTTTGGCTCTTCCAGACGGATTCATCCCTCAAGGCAGGACCACACATCCCTGCTGGAGCTGGAGGAGCTCCCCACCCTGCCCAGGTGTGATGCTCCTCAGGGAAGCTGCTTTCACCTGGCAGGATCTCCCAGCCACTGAGGGGGCAGGAAGAGTCGCCAGGTGCCCCCAAAGCCCTGCTGTCACTCTGCAGTTGGAGAGGAAGCTCAGCTCTCTGGGCAGGGAAGTCCCTGGCTGCCCAGACAGTCTGGCTGTGGTGGAAGAGGCTGTGACTATTTTGGGAGGCAGCCTAATCCCGGGGCTGTCACGGGCTTTCTGTCCTGCAAAGCCCCCTCACATAATTTTATGGAATCCCAGAAGGGCTGGGGTTAAAAGGGGCCTTAAAATCCATCTTGTTCTACCTCCTGCCACGGCAGGGACACCTTCCACCACCCCAGGGTTCTCCAAACCCCATCCAGCCTGGCCTTGGGCACTGCCAGGGATCCAGGGGCAGCCACAGCAAATCTGGGAATTCCATCCCCACCCTCCCAGGGAACAATTCCTAATCCCCAGAATCCCATCCAGCCCTGCCCTGGGGCAGTGGGAGCCATTCCCTGTGTCCTGTCCCTCCATCCCTTGTCTCTCCAGCTCTCCTGGAGCCCCTTTAGACCCTGAGCTCTCCCTGGATCCTTCTCCTCTCCAGGTGAGCACCCCCAGCTCTCCCAGCCTTTGGAGCATGGAGGGGATTTTCCCACATTTACAGGAAAGGCAGATTTTGTTCCCTTTTGGGTTTTCCAGGGCTGGGAGGATCCTGGGGCTCCTGATGTCCCTGGGGAGCCTCTGGGTGACCTCCAGCTGCCCAGGGGACAGCAGAGCTCCCCTTCCCAGGGATCCCAGTCCCCATGGATGGAATTCCCCAGCCTCCCCCAGCCCCCGGTGAGGCTCAGGGCCAGGCGGGTCCCTCTGCTCAGGGTTTGGTGTTTCTTCCCCTCTCCGGCTCTGACTTCACCCCGCAGGTATCCAAGCAGACAATGCTGGTGGCAGTGGCCAGCACAGCATCCTGTCCCCTCGTGTCCCCCCTCCCCGGCCACTTCCCAGGATTGTTCTGCTCCCCTGTCCCCCGGGAGGGGCAGGGATGAGCTGCACGTGCTGGTGGCTGCTGGGGCTTCGCTCCAGGATGGAGCAAGGAAAAATCATCCTGAGGGTCCTCCTGCTCCAGCAGGAGCTGTCCTGGCGTTCCCACCCCCCACCAAACCCTTGCTCTGAGGTTACTGAGCCCAGCCCAGGCCAGGCTGAGCTCAGCAGGTCGTGGCTGAGCCAGGCTGGGCTCCCTGCTGCCTTGACCCCGGGTCTGAGCTGATTAATCCAATTCCAGGAGAAGGCAGCCCTGTGTCACCATTCCCGAGCTCCAAGCCTCCATTCAGGCAGGGGTTGAGCCTGCAAACACTCTCCTCACCATAATCCCCCAATTTCTGTGCCCAGCTTGCTCCAGCAGCGATCTTTGGACCTGGAATCTGCTTGTTCCCATGGAATTCTTTGTGTTTTGGGAGCCCAGTGCCCAGTCTGCTCCTTCCTCGCTGTGTCCTCCACGTCCTGCCTGTCCAAGCATTGTGGGGAATGTTCAGGTTATAAGTTCAGCTCTTTTCCCATTTGGCTGTGATACTTACTTTTTTGGGGATATGTTCATAGAATCCAGGACTAGTTTGGGATGGGAGGCAGCTTAAAGATCCTGTTCCACCCCTGCCATGGCAGGGACACCTTCCACTGTCCCAGGCTGCTCCAATCCCAATGTCCAGCCTGCTCTTGGACACTTCCAGGGATCCAGGGGCAGCCACAGCTGCTCTGGGCACCTGTGCCAGGGTCTCACCCTCTCACAGGGAAGGATTTCTTGCCAGTATCCTGTCTGCCCTTGCCATAATTCCTGGCTCTCTGCTGGCTCCAGCTGCCAGCCCCTGGATCAGTGGTGCTGGGTGGGTATTGCTGGCAGCCCCTCTGTGCAGAGACCAGGGGGATGGTGCACCCTGCTGCTCCTCCCTGCAGCCCTGCATTGCCCAAAACATCCCTCCTTCCCTCCTCCCTGCCTGCCCAGCTCAGTTCTGGGTCCCCTGACCCCTCTGGGACAGCAGCTCTGGTCTGGCAGTGGCAGCAGGAGCTGGACCAGGAGCTGGTTTTTCCTCCCTTGGGGTTGCCCTGGTTTGTCCCGGCCTGGGAAGAGGGGGAGCAGCAGGGAAAGCAGCACCTCTGCCCTGGGGGTGCCATCCCCAAGTGGGGTGCTGGATCCAGGCTGGCCCATTTGGGAATGGCTCCTGGAGCAGCCGGTGGGTT